ATCCAAGTGAGGAGGATGTAACTAGTAGCCACGCAAATTCAATGGGCGTAGGGCAAATCCTGAGGGGCCCAGAAGATAGGATAATATGAAATCGGACATATTCATAGTTTTTTTTTGGTCATAAAAGCATAGAACAAGAACACACAACGGTGCTATATTTGTTTTATTTCCAGCAAGTTGCTGCCACCGGGCTGGATGACCCTCCAGACGAGTCGGTCCAGCCAGCAGAGAAGAGGTGTCCGGCTTGCTGCAGCAAATGCGCGAGAAGGTGCAGGAGCAGAGCGCGAAACTCGGCTCGGCTCGCTTTTGGATGGGTCACGTGAGGCTTTTCCTCAGCTTTTCGGTGTGTCTCTTTTTTGGAGTTGGTAGTTTTTTGGTTTTGGTTTTTTTTGGGGGGGTTATTTGTGGGGGTGTTCGTTTATGGAATTAAGGCACCTTTGCTGGTGGTTTGAAAGGGGAAAGCGATCAGAACACCGCCAATTGAGCGGGCCTCAGAAAAGACACCCCTATCTCTTCATACAAATAGCAACTGAGGCGGCTGGAGATTGTTGCGCGGGGGGGTACGGATTTGGGTTGGTTCCTTTCAGCCCGGCCTGGAAGATTCCAACACAAATTCACCCAAAGTTTGCGGCTAGAGTCGTTTTGTTTTGCATTGGGAGCTGGTTGCGTTTGGGTCAGAAGGCTTCTGAGGCCATGCCTGGCCGAGTACATGTGGCTGGCTTCCATGTCGCTCAAGTTTCTGGAAGTTCGATCCGGGAAGTGGCTCCGAGAGAAGCGAAAGGGGAAGTGGCTCCTTTTCCCCATTTTGTGTTTCAACCGTCGTTAAAAATAAATATTTATTGAACAAAAAAACCGGCCGGGTTTCTGGAGGTTTTCAAGAAAGGATGTCTGGAAAGAATGGAAATGAAAGGTCCTACTGTGGTTGAACGAACTCCATTTCGCACCGAATTGAAACCATGGTTGATGCCATTTGTTTGTTGGTATTTTCAGGGGAATTTTCCGAAACCATTGTTTCCGAATGGTAGTGCCTAGGATTTCACAACCATCCACAGTACCCGGAACCTCCCGATTGATTTAGGGCCTTGAAACCTGGTTTTGAGAATTCCCGGGTCAACCAACCCCAATTTTCCCGGAATGGCTGTCTAATGCTTGGGGCTCGGGCCTTCCATCAGCCGAAGCGCTTCCATCGGAGCCTAAGCGAGTCTTCCCCTGGCTTTCCGGAGGCCCACGAGGGCTCAAGGGGCCCTTCGATGACGCTCAGCTCCGGAGTCGCCCGGTTCAGCGCATGGCTCCTGGCGTGCAGCAGGCGGGGGGAAGCACCCCGCTTTGGCAAAGGAAGCAACAGGCGCTTGCAGAAATACTGGCGCTGGGTGTGCTTTTAAGGTAGACCTTTTGTGAACCTGGCGGTTTTTTAATTTGCAAACATGGGCGAACAAAAGGACAACCGCCATTTTGGTGGGCCTGATTCCCACAACGAGGCACGGCTCTTTTTCTGGGTTTTGTTATGTTTACTTGCTGGCTCCCAGCCATCCCCTTCGGTTTTTAGGTGTTTCATTGGTTTAGTGGTAGCTTCCATTTGTGAGGAGAACCCAGTTTAAAAGGCTTGGCCGAAACTTTACACAGGTCGCTGCTGAGACTTACATGCGCTTCATTTCTGCACCTGGCGCCGTGCTTCACGGGCCGCAAGTGGGTCCCTGCTTTTTGTTTTGAGCTTTTGGTGTCCTGCTTTACCCTCTCTCCAACAATGGGCTTGTTTTGCTTGAAGGTGCCCTTTTGAGGTGGGTTTAAGGTAAACCACGGGAAAACCACCTTTTGGTTTTTCGTTGGTATCCCCTTTCCAAGCATCATGGAAACTGACAGGAGGTTTGGAAATCAGTCCTCTTGAAACGACCTGTCCGCTTCCATGATTGGTGTCCATGTGGTTTCGGTCGCAAAACGTATGGGTCTGTCTGTTTTTTTTGGGGCACCCGTCTTTTGGTGGCTTTTGAGGAAGTCAAAAGAAAAGCCACAACTTGGTGACTGTGGTGCGAAATGGATTTCGTCCATCCACTGTATGGATTCCAGTGAAGAGTCCAGAAGATGTCTTGCAAACATCCGCACCTGCCGCGCAGAGTGGTGTTTTCCACATTTATGTTGAGGTTCACTTCTGCTTATTTTATTGCGGACCAGAATCCAACATGTTCTTGTTCGGGGCAACTGCTGAGATAAAACATGCCAGGAACTTGTGGAGCAAGCCAACAAGTGGGAGTGTCATTTTGAGGGTACCCTTTTTAAGGTCGGTTCAAAGGGGCACCAAATTGAACACACTCTTTCTTTGTGTTTGTTTGTTCACTGTTTTTTTTGGGGAGGGGGGTCCCCTCAAAAAATCCACACCCAAGTAAGGCTTGCTGATGCTTTACTTGACATTCGAGATCCTTCGATATTACTCCATGCTATGGATTTGTGCGCCTCGGACAAGTCGGGGATCCGGGAATTCGAAATGGAGAAAAAGCCAAAGACCCACAATGCTGTTTGGTGGGAGCATACCCTTTGTCCAACAATCATGGAAGTGGTCAAGGGGCCTTTCAACCGCATGGTAGTCTTGCAAATTTCTTTCCACTGTTACATAAGTTGTTGGAAAGAGGGCATTGTATTTGTTATTGTAAATTGGTTGTATTTTCTTCGTTCCCTGTATTTGATAGAACGAGGGTCTGTAAGTCTTAGATCAAACAGAAGCAGCGTGGCTCTTCGCTGTTCCTCTGTAATCCACCGAGCCCTTTTCGATCAAAGGAGTCCACACCTGGACCAGGTTTTGGTTAGGCCGAATAAATCTAAACTGGCTGTGATTTTTCTATGGGACACCTCTTGATGTTTTAATGTGTTTTGATGTGACTTTCTATGTTTCATTCCTCTTTATGTTGTTTTGTGCAGGAACATGGAAACCAAATGCCTTTCTACCCAAAAGCACAGGCAAACCACTGCCCGAAATTGGCTGAAGTGCCGAGTTCAGGCGCTTTGGGGTCTTGGTCTGGCTACCTGCGCGGGTCTTGTCCTCCTCTTCTGGTTCCATGGCACCTGCATGGCCATGCATCTCCTGTCGGCCTTCTGGATGCGAAAGGCCATTTTTTTTCTACGCTCGAGCGTCGTTTTGATCAACCTGGGATTTTGGTTATGGTTTGAGATTTGCTGATGGTTCATATAACAAATAGGACTACTAGGTCCCCCAGCTAGGTGCCCCTTTTAACCCCACTAGTTCAAACCTACTAAAATAGACTACAAAAAAAGGGGTACCCTTGTTCTAACCTCTCAAAACTGGAGGACCTAGGTGAGAGAGAGACATGGATCGTGGAGTCGAAGGGTAACTCTTCTTGGGGGCCTGTGTTTGTTGTTTTAGAAATTCGCTAAAACCAGACACACCAATGTCAGGTGTGAATTATAATCACTACAACTCATTGATATGTATACATATATTAAGATATATATATATATATATACATACAGTGTGATAATAATATAGTCGCCAGGGAGGTTAAGGAGACTTCTTCCATCACAGGTTTGGGTTTGTTGTTGACACCCCTCTTGCTTTGCTTTAGTCGGCAAAAGAAGTGTGTCTCCTTCTAGAAAAGTCGGAGGGACTTCAATTCTTTGGTTTCTCATTGACTTCCTTTTAGCCAACCCCAAAATACGGCCACTTGGGTGCTGGGCCACAAGTCACTCATAAGTAGGTTATAACTCTACAAAAGACCAAAAAGACCTTAAAAAAGGCCCGGGGTGCGACAGGCCCCTCCTCCGGCAGAGGGCCAGTGGGTCCGGGTCTTCCATGGCACCACGCTGGACAATGCGAAGAAGATCCAATGGGAGGGCTTCATCCCCTCCAAGGATGGTATGACTTTTTATTCATTTGCTGAAGAACTGTACGTCGTTCATTTACTTTGTTCATTTGGCTCCCGAAAATTCTTCTTTGTTGCATGTTGCTTGGATGTTAGGACTTTATCTTTTTGCCAACTTATGTGTTTTTGTCCCATTAAGCCACTAAAAGTTAAACTGTTACAGGGAAGCAGAAAGCAACCGAGATATGACTTTTGTTGGGGAGGTGCTACTGTGGACGGTTGCGAAATCAAGTGTGGAACAGCCAGCACCATGAAGCTGGCAGCTCACGGACTCAAACCACAAGACTGAGGGGTCTGGGAGTACTGTGGATGGACGAACTCCTGCACCATCGTTCAGAAACCCTGGTTTCTGATGATTCAGCAACGTAAATACCACAAACAATGGTTTCAACCATGTTTTCAAAGTGGTGCAGGATTCCGTCCATCCACAGTATGACTTTGTTCGTGTGCTTAACTTGGTGGCTCCCGAAGGCCATCCGGTTCCTTAGCCTTTTAGATATTTTTAGTGTTTAGTGGTAGTTTCCATTTAACCCACTAAAGGTTATTCACTTTTAGCGAGGGATCAAAAACGGGCAGCCCAGCTAAGAAGACGTTGATTTTCCCCTGTGGGTCTTAAAATAATCTATTACTATTGGACGTATTGTTCTGCATTTGCTTAAGATTACTTTTGGTTTCCCTTGCTGGTTTTAAAGGGAATCGATCACTCTTGGGCATATGTTTTTGTCTTTTCCCCGGAAAACATCGGAACATGGAGGACTTGGAAGTCTCAGTTCCTGAGTTGTTGTTTTTTCATGGTCACTTCTGGGTGCATTTTGCCAAGGGCTGTGAGGACTTTAACTTTTTGCCAACTAATGGGTTTTCCACTAAACCACTAAAAGTCATTCACTTTTAGCAGGGGAGCAGAAAGCAACCGAGGTCACTTCTTGGCGGCCCATCCGGAAAGATTGGAATCCCCGGATGACCACAGTCCCCAATGAAACATTTTAGTGGCCCGCAGGCAAAACTTGATCGAAGGTCGGGACAGTCCGGCTTTTGGTGTACCACTTTGCGTGGTATGTTTTTTGTGGATACCTCTGCCTCTTTTGGACTGGTTTTAAAACCACAATCCATTGGGGGGGGGCCTTAAACAATAACACTCTCCCATGTTTTTTCCCCAACAGCTGAAAGCTTTGGGGTCGATAGGCCCAGATAGGCTCCGGGGTGGTCCGGGGCGGCCCTGAGGCAAGGTTCCACGAGGGTTCCACCGGATGTTCCCTTTTCCTCTTTGTGAATGGACAGCAAACAGCTAGCCTGGCCCCCCGCAGAACGGGATGCTGGGCAGCGGCGTGTATGTGTCCAGGGACTTGCGGAAGGTTTGGAATTATGGGCGCATACACAAGCGGGTGACTCAAAGCCAGACTTCACGACAAGCTGTTTTTCTTTTCTTTTGTTTTTTAGATATATGTGTATGAATGTGTATATATATATATATATGCATATTGTTTGACTTCCCCTTTTCACCAGCAACCGGCAAAGATGCAGCTCTTGTGGGCGCAGCCCAGGTGAAAGGAGTCGTGGCGACCGGGGTGATTATGGAGCTGGAGGTGTTCGTGGGCAAGCTGTGCATCGTCGATCGCCAGGGCCATACATTCCAGCGACGCTGGCGCGAGGAGTTTGATACAGCATGGGTGCCAGCGACTCCGAGCAGAGGCCCAAAGCACACCTTTTGACCTTGTCTTTTTGTGTGCTGGTTTGGTCTTCTTTTAGTTCAGGTCATAAAAGGTTAGTTAATTGGTTTGTTCTACTTTTGCAGGTTTGGTCCTGCTTCTACCTTTCGACTCTTTTGTTCTTTCCTGGTTTTGTTCTACTTTCAGTCAATGTGCCAAAAGGTGAACCTTTTATTTCCAGGTCCTGTGGGCAACTGAGCCCAGCAGAGGCACCCCTGAACCGAAACCCGGAAGGTTTTGAGACCTGTTCTCGGTTAGTGCTTTGAGTCTCAGACATCAGCCACAGGCAGCTCTACTGGGAGTGAGGGGCCCAAACCTTGTTGTTTAGTGCGTGAGTAGTTTGCTGGCTTCCAGCAGACGTCCTCGAAATGCTTTCTTCAATTGAGTGCGTAGGTTTTGTGCTGTGTTCACTGGTTTAAAGGGTAGACTGGTAGACTTGGCAACCAGTATCAACCAACCAGAAGGCTTCCTGGCACTACCCAGAGGCTCCAATTCGATTGATTCAGGCGCCTGAAAAAACGAACCTGGTTCTGAGACCCCCAACCACCGAAGAGAGGTGTCTAATGCTTCACAGTTGGGTCTTCCATTGAAATCCGAAGCCAGGAATTGAAATCCCCAGGAGCCTCTGGGTAGGGTCTTCCATTGAAATCCACAGGAGCCTTTGGGTAGAAGAATTCGTCGACTTGCCAGCAATTTATTTGGCCATGGGTCAAAATCCTGTCCACATCCCAATCCCCCCTAAAATAGACTAAAATGGGTGGTGCACCTACCCCAAAATGGATCCCATTGGTTTTGACAACCACAGCCATTTCTCTGTAAGGCGAACTCCGGAATGGTGCATTCAAACCGGGAGGAGGCCTGCGTCAAAAGTGCCGCCTGGATCAGAGTGGTGCGGATTTGGCCGAAGCCTGGCATTACTTAGGCCTTATTTAGGGCTTATTTGGGCTCCCTCCCCCCCCTCCCTCCCCCCCAGGTTCGATGAGGAATTGACTTGCCATGCGCAATTGAGGGTGCCGCTTTTGCAGCTTTTTCAAGGGAAACCAAGAAAAAGCCAGCCATTGTGGCCCGTTCAGTTGAACAATGAGTTTTCAGGTGTACTTATAAGATCCTGGTGGTTGGATGCATCAGCATGCTGTGTTGCACGGGGATAAAGTATTTCTCAGAAGGTATTTGGACCCTTCGGGTTGTGTTTTGGCCCTGCAGGTTTTGTCATTTCGCAGTGGTGTGTGTACTGCTATCACCGCATCCTCCCGTTCTGGTTTCAGACATTCAGGTTTCAACACCCACACATGACCCGTAAAGGCTAGTTCCTAAAGAAATTGGCTCATGCACCGGCCCGAGAACTGGATGCAGTATGGTTCATGAGGCAAACCTTCGTATTCCGGAAGGCCGAAAATTTCAGGAGCGGTTCCCTAGTCAGAAAATGATGTGTAGGTCTGCGGGTCCGCCGGAGCGAAGCTGACCTTCAAACAAACCTCTGGCCTGTGCAGTTTTTGCGAAGCCGCAAGGAAGCGTCAGCTGGGGCGGTTGCTTTTCCACGAGGCGGCCCGGCGCATCATGATGCGACTTTGGGCTCCCTTTGGCCGACTCCGCTGCTGCACACGGCGGGCGCCAGTGCAGAAGAAGAAGAAAGGGCTCCAGAAGCAGAGCTGCGCAAAGGTGAAGGTGCTCTGAGCATCTCGGGGAGAATCTCGGGCTGGGGCACGACTCAAAATGTGCTCACCCGCTTCAAGGGAATGACATGATTTTACGGCTCGGATTTGTATGGTCTGGATTGATCCGATTGTTTTTGTTTTAGGTATCAAGCCTCTCGAGCTGTAAGGATCCGCTCTGCCTGCGGCGCATTTGTAAACTGGCCGTGACTCACGGTCTGCTCACCCAAGACCCAGGGAAGTGCAGAAACCTTAAGAAGCAAAAGCGGGGTTAGGCTTTCCAGACCTTCCAACAGCCTGTTGAAAAGACCCCTGCTTGACCCGTTTGAAGATGTTTTTCATTTGGGCAAAATGGGGTTATGGACTTTCTGCACTTCCTGGAGACATCTTTTTGTGAGCAACCCTTGCTGATTCCATGTACAGCCGCGTGAACCACTGTGCAGCGAGCGGTTCCGCGGGCGGAAGAAATCAACAAAAAAAAAAAACTGCGTGGTCGAAATCAGGCGCTGCAGGACACAACCAGCTTGACTCGCCTAGGGGAAGCTTCCATTTCCATTCTTTCCCAGGATCTATCTTTTGAGGAAACCATCAAACCCAGAAAAAAACAGCTGGTTCTCGAAAGAACAATGGTTGAACAGAATGTGGAGTCAAGCAAAAAATAACTTGTTTGCTATTTGCAGGAATGATCAATGCACTTGATGCTGTGTTGCGCGCGATGACGCAAGTGGCAACCCCCACTAACCTTTCCCCGATGAACAGAATGAGTGACTTTCAGGAAAAAAATGCGGTTCTCCGAGATCTTTGCCACAAGCCCAGTCTGCGTTCGGTGTTCGAGTCATATTAGCCAGCATTCAGGGCTTGCATACTCGTCAGGGTCGCCCCTTGTGTGAGTAAAGCCACGTTGTTGTCCGGTGACGTGGAACCAATGAATTGCAAGCCAGCAATGCCTCCAAGTGGACCTCACGATAGCGTAGCGCGATGCTCGCATCGAGTTTCCTTGCTTTGACAATTCAGGGGGCTGTGGCCCCCATACCGAATCTCGTGCTCGTGTTTACGACTTGGGATGCTTGTTCACATGGACCTGGTCAAAGTTCGAGTCTTAGTCCCAGTGGCCCAGTGGTGCCCTTGTTTCCGTTTTTGGGGGGAACGGTTCCCTTTAAAAGTCAACCAACCCAAAAAAGTCGGCTGCCAATCCTTCTTTTCCCATGGAAATCCACTGGGCATCTGAGCTTGGCAACTGGGTTGTACATGCCTCGACTTTAGTCACTTCCCTTTTGGGTGTGGCAAAGAAACGGTTTTATGTTTTTGCTTGGCCAAGCCCAGAAAAAAGTGAGGCCCCCCCCCCCCCACCACCCACCCACCAAAAACAACCCAAAAGCCACCCAAAACTACCCACTCAGGAAGTGAGATCGGTTTAATGGTATTTGGGTCTGTCTCCAAGTTTTTGAGTTTGTTCAACGGGGAAAGCAAGAAGAATCCAACTAACCTTATGGTTTTTATCGGGGAAAACCAGAGAGGACACCAAAAAAGCCACTTGGAGAAATTGCAGGTGCCTCCATTTTCCGAACCCGTTTTAAAGGGAAAACCCCCCTTCTTTTTTTTCCATGGAAAACACGAGACTTCCAACTACCCGGAGGCTCCCGATTGAGGGCCTTCAAACAACCTGGTTTTTGAGGCCCCCAACCACCTCCGGGGTGTCTAGTGCTTCGGGGTCGGGTCTTCCATTGAAAGCCGAAGCCAGGAGCCTCTGAGTAACCAACCACCGGTGCGGCTGCCTCCATTTTCCTTCTTCTATAGTTTTAACGGGAAAACAGGGGAAGCCGCCTCCCCCTTTTTGTGGCTTTACCTGGAAAACACGAGACTTCCAACCAATCCACCACCCGGGGTGCGGGTGCCTCATTTTCTGTTCCCTTTTTGTGGTTTTAACGGGGGAAAACCAGAGAGGACGCCAAAAAACCCACCAGGGGAGGTAACACGAGACTTCCAACTCACCGACACTAATGGGAGGCACCGGAGGCACCCGCAACCCGAGGACGGAGAAGGAGCTCTTCGAGAAGTTCGCCTGCCACTGCCGCGCCACGACTGCCTCGCTGCAGGGCGAGCTGGACGCGGCGGAGAAGGCGATCCCGGAGCTGGACTCGGCGCCTCGGAGGGGAGGATCAGCGACCCGCGTTTTGAAGGGTGGACCATCAGAACCTCCATTTTCTAAAATGTGTGTTTTTTTTGCTGAAAGGAATATGTGTTTTTTTTTGGGTTGAAGCAAATTCCCTGTTGGATTGAAAGGGAAGCGATTTCACCACACACTGATCTTCCATTCATTCTGCGAGGTTGGACCATACAGTGGATGGACGAAATACCAACAAACAATGGTTTCCCATGGTTTCAAAGTGGTGCAGGTGTTCGTCCATCCAACAGTAATAAGCTCTAAATGAGTATGTGTGTATTTTCCCCTGTTGGTTTTAGAGGGAATCGATTTCACTACCGGAGATATTTCTATTTTTCCTGCGGGGCTTTCGCAAGTGGAGGATAACGAGGTTTCTCCATTTCCCTGTTTGAAGCCTCCAAAAGTTGATTTCGATTGTTTTAGTGGAAACCACCAGCAAATTGATCGACTTAAAGGGAAATTCAGTGACCCCTGCCGTAAGGGTGGCTCGTTTTTTGAGGTTGGACACCCTGGGTTTTCCCTTTTGTCCAAGCCAAAAAGGGTTCCTTCAAGAAAGACACACCCAGGGGCGATTTACTGACAGTTTGAAGTAAGATTATTCGCTTTGCTGAAATCAATATGTTCTATTTGTCCTTGTTGGTTTTAAAGGGAATTTATCGCTAATGGACATGTTTTATCATGTTTTCGCATTGTTTCCGGGGGGCTTAAGCAAATATGTGTGATGCGAGAATCGCCAGCCTCAGCTCTCCTTTTTGCAAACCGTTGCAGTTGGCAAATCCTTGGGCTACTTGGGGATACTGTATATCCCAGGCGCGGTTGCGAGCCCGAAATCAACTTGTTTGGAGGCCCGAATCGAGATCAATCAGAGTGCCGATGCTTGTGTGCCCATGGCCGCGGGTGTACCATGTCCTCACTCGCACGGCTTTGATTTGTTCCCCAGCTGAGAGTGTTCTCTCTGTCCAGGCTCGCAAGGGGTTTGAAGCAGCTTTCGAAGAGGGTTCCGGAGGGTTTCAGTGGGGGTCCGCTGTTGGGACCACGACCTGGGCTGATGATTTTCTTGGTTCTGTTCATTCGGGCTGCAAACGCAGCTTTTGCGGCCTACTAAGGTTTCGGAGAGATTTGGCGGGTAGAAGCTGCGTGTGGATGTTTGTTTTTGTGGGCGGAGGGGGTGCCCTTTTTAGGTTCGTTTTTCGAAGGGAAGCCAACCAGAACATTCATCTAAATACAAATAAGCGAAACAGGACATTTTATGGAAAGGTCTCTTGAAACAACCACAAGTGAGAGCCTTCAAAACGTCACACACACGCACAATTACCTCATAGGCCAGCCATCCTCTGAGATTCAGGATCTGGGTGTGTCTCAAAATGGGGTCCTGTTTGGGAATGCCTTTGTGAGCGGAAACCAAAAGGAGGCCAACTACATGAAGGTTTCCCTTATTTGTTGAGAGCCAACCTCTTGTCCAACTTGGGACCGCACACATTTGCTGAAGGTACCAAGACCCTTAGAAAAGTAGGGGATCCGATGCAGTGGGGCCTGTTCAAGAAAGATGCGCTGGTCTTCCAAACCCAAGTGTGTCATGATTGAACAAAGGAAGAGACCACGTGGAAGCCACCAGCCGCTCAGGAAATTCTGGAAGTTCGCCCTAGCCCCTTGTGAATTGGTATTTGGCTAAGGCGCAGGAGAACCAATTGGTTTTCATACAGTGTGGAGACAAACCAGATGTAAGTTCCCCAGATCCGGGCAAGCCACTACAGCAGGAAAGGTTTTCACCCCTCAGTCAGCACACGATGGTTTTCTCTGCCGAGAGAGGCTTCTGGGGCTTTGAATGGAGGACCCGACCCTTCCCTTAGACACCCCGGAAGTGGTTGGGGGTCTCAACACCAGGTTGTTTGAGGCCCAAAATCAATCGGGAGCCTCTGGGTGGTAACCCACTGCGGGTTGGATTTGTTTCCACACCGGGGCAAGGGTAAGCCAGCTATTGGTGCCTTTTCCGGTGCCCCAAGTTTGACCACAGTGTATCTTTGTGCAAGGCTCGGCACACTTTTTGGGTTTGGTGTAAAGGGACACCAAGAGGAGAACTACTTCTTTGGGGGGTCCAAATGCGTTTTTTGAGACACATATCACATCCCCACAAGGGTCTGTCTTTTTTGGTGGGACCCGCCCGCCACGGAAAAAGGAAGAAGAAGAAGAAGAAGAAGAAGAAGAAGAAGAGAAAACATGAAGTGGCTTTCCTGCTGTTTGTTTCTTTCATGCCCCAAACCGCCCCGCCAACCACGGGGCAAAAAGCCGCCAAAAAGCAGAACAGACGCCTTCGAGACTCGATGTGTCTCGCTTTGGGCTCCGTGGCTCGACGTCAGGAGATTTTAGAGCTCGAGAGCTCCGGGGAAAGCTTGGGAAAGGCGTGGTCTCGCGGGTCTCGCGGAACGAAGACTTCCATTCGCTGAAAGGAAGATGTTGGAGCCTCAAAAAATACACCAGCATAGACCCCTGAGCCAAATGGCTTCACCAGAGGGCCCCCTTCAAAGGGTCCATACGTTTTCGGTAAGCCGTCGAACCCACTGGAAGTCGGTTAAGGCAGTTCATACTGTGGATGGTTGCGCAATCCTCTCAGGCACCAACAAAATTACACCAGCAGAGACCCCAAACAGTTGAGGGCTGACGGGCGAGCACAAACATGCCAACAGCTTGTGGCTTTCTGCGCTTCAACACGGATGAATCAAAATGATGCAGTCGTGAACCTGGCGCGCGTTGCGTTGCTGCACGTGTGTTGCTGGCGTGCTTCGCGCTTCAGCACCGCGCCAGAACTGAGGTTGGGCAAGCGCGCGCGATGGCGGGCGAGCGCGCGCGCGTGAACGCAAGTGTGGCCGCGCAAGCACGCAGTCACATGGGCAGTTCAAACACACATGTCCAATTCAGACACACATGTGTGTACACGTGGAACACACATACGTATACGACTGAAACAGTATACATTCACCTGCGGCACACGCATAAATGTGTTGAGCTGGAAAACAAACATGTGCTTCTTGGAAAGCACACACACACATGTGCAAACGTGGAACGCACATATGTGTTCACTTACGACACGCTAATGCGTTCACGTGGAACACACATGTGTGTTCACTTGGAACACAATGAAACGCGTGTCCAATTCAGACACACATGTGTGTACACGTGGAACACACATGCGTTCACCTGGAACACAAAGACGCGCAATTAAAGCACACATGTGTGTACGCGTGGGACACACATATGTATACCACTGGAACACAAACATGTGTCCACCTGGAACACCGCGTGTGCGATTAAAGCACACATGTGTGTACATGTGGAACACACATATGCGCACACGTGAGCAAACATAAATGCTCACCTAAATCGCACACACATGCGCGCACCTCGAAAACAATCATGCGTTTTCTGGAGCGCATACATGTGCACACCTGGAGAGCAAATATGTCGTCAGATGCCAAAAAAAGTTCACCTAGCACATACTAATGTGTTCACGTGAAACACACATCTGTTCACCTGGAACACAAACACGTGTCCAATTGGAACACACATGTGCGTACACGTGGAACACACATATGTGCACACGTGAACACGCATATGTGCACACGTGAACACTCACATATATGTGCACCCGGAACACACACCCGTGTGCTCATCTGATAACAACCATGTGTTCTCCTGGAACACAAACACGTGTCCAATTGGAACACGCATGTGTGTACACGTGAACACACATATGTGTACACGTGGGAGACGCAAATGCGCACACGTGAACACACACACATGTGCACACGTGGAACACACACATGTGTACTGCACATGTGAACACACACATTTATGCGCGCGCGGAAAACACAGACACACACGAGTGTTCATCTGATAACAAACACGTGGTCTCCTGGAACACAACCGTGTGTCTAATTGGAACACAACCGTGTGTACACGTGAACACACATATGTGTACACGTGAACACACACACATATTTATATATATATATATATGCGCACCCGGACACACACACACGTGCGTTCATCTGAAAACAAACATGTATTCACCTGAAACACAAACACGTGTCCAATTGGAACAAACATGTGTGGACACATGAACTCACAAATGTGTACATGTGGAACACACATATGTGTGCAAATGAACACACATACATGCGCACGCGGAGCAGACACACACACACACACGCGTTCATCTGCTAACAAACATGTGTCCTCCTGGAACACAAACACGTGTCCAGTTGGAACGCACATGTGTGCACGCGCGAACACACAATGTGTGCCGTGAACACACATACAAAAAAGTGCACGCGGAGCAGACACACACGCACGTGTTCATCTGATAACAAACATGTGTTCTCCTGGAACACAACCGTGTGTCTAATTGGAACACAGACGTGTGTACACGTGAACACACATATGTGTACACGTGAACACACACATATATACGCGCACCCGGAACACACACACACACGAGTGTTCATCTGAAAACAAACATGTGTTCACCTGGAACACAAACACGTGTCCATTGGAACACACATGTGTGTACACGTGAACACACATATGTGTACACGTGGGAGACGCAAATGCGCACACGTGAACACACACATGTGCACACGTGCAACACACACATGTGTACTGCACATGTGAACACACACATTTATGCGCGCGCGGAAAACACAGACACACACGAGTGTTCATCTGATAACAAACACGTGTTCTCCTGGAACACAACCGTGTGTCTAATTGAACACAGACGTGTGTACACGTGAACACACATATGTGTACACGTGAACACAGCACACGTGGAACACACACATGTGTACTGCACATGTGAACACACACATTTATGCGCGCGCGGAAAACACAGACACACACGAGTGTTCATCTGATAACAAACACGTGTTCTCCTGGAACACAACCGTGTGTCTAATTGGAACACAGACGTGTGTACACGTGAACACACATATGTGTACACGTGAACACACACATATATATGCGCACCCGGAACACACACACACACGTGCGTTCATCTGAAAACAAACATGTATTCACCTGAAACACAAACACGTGTCCAATTGGAACACACATGTGTGGACACGTGAACACACAAATGTGTGCACGTGGAACACACATATGTGTGCAAATGAACACACACACATGCGCATGCGGAGCAGACACACACACACACGTGTTCATCTGATAACAAACATGTGTCCTCCTGGAACACAAACACGTGTCCAGTTGGAACGCACATGTGCGCACGCGTGAACACACAATGTGTGCACGTGAACACACATACAAAAAAGTGCACGCGGAGCAGACACACACGCACGTGTTCATCTGATAACAAACATGTGTTCTCCTGGAACACATACACGTGTCTGATAAGAACACACATGTGTGTACACGTGAACACACATATGTGTACACGTGCAACACGCATATGTGCGCACGTGAACGCACATATGTGTACATGTGGAACACACATATGTGCACACGCGACACACACACACACACATATATATATATATATATATGCGCGCCCGGAACACGCACACACACACATGCGTACACCTGGAACACATATGTGTGTATGTCTGGAAAGCACATTTCTGTTCACCTGCAACACACATATGTGTTCACCTGGAACCCATATATGCGCTCACTTGGAACAGGCATTTGTGTTCACGTGCGACACTGGTGCAGACCTGGATCACACAAGCATGTTTAACCAGAACAAACTTCTGTGTTGACTTGTAACACACATATGTGTACACATGGAACACACGTGTGTGCACATGTGGAGAAACATGTGCAACACAAATGTGCAACACACATGCGTTCACCTGGACAACAAAAATGTGTTCACATGGAATTTACATTTCCTGCACGCCTGGGCGACACATAAATCAAGTTCCCGAAGCCGGCTGTGAGGCGCTATTCCATGGGGCTCTGCCTTGAACAACGCTTGTGTTTTATATGCGTGTTCCAAGTAGGAAAATAGTGTTCGTGTACGATCAATCTAGCTTTTTTGCAACACATTGCTAGCGCGCGAGCCTGCTGCTGCTGCTGCTGCTACTACTGCTAGTACTATCAGTATCGGATGCGTCTCCAGCAGTTACAGGCTTCAGCTTAGCAAAAGCTTTCCGGCGCATTGCGCTTCTTTCTCGCTTAGCTGCACAGTGTCTTTCGTATCGATTGCTAAAGTGCTTTGATCGTATTGTGGCAACTCTTCGTATCGATTCAGTAAAGCATTTGCTTTCGCAGGGAAATACGCAACCCAATTCTTCCGTATGCTCGGTACAAGGCATCCCTGCCGTCTTGCCTCAGCCGTTGTTTCTCCCCTTTGTCCAGCAAATCGCACTCCATGATAATTGCATGCGAGGAGAGCGGAAGCAAATTTGGATTGAAGCGTAACTGGGAACCGGTCACAGCTGACCACTGCGCTAGCGCCTTGCTAGCGCGCGGCTAGCGCGGGTTCGCCGTATTTTTTGGAGTCACGGCGACCATCTGTGTGGATTTGACAAATTAAGGCCACGTAAGATGAAGGTAAACGTGCGGGCTGGCTTCAAGTACTAAGTAAGAACTGCAACATTACACCCTTGAAAGCCACGCAAAGCCCATCGCGGCAACCCACGCGCCAACTCTTGGAAACCAAGATCACCGAAGACCCTAGCGCAAACCAAGCGCCATCCTAGCGCCTCCAGTGGGGAGCGGGCAATCCATTGGTATTTGCAGGACTCCGCTTTGTGTGAATGAAAAACTGCACAAAGTGACTGCGACGGTGGCCTCTGTAGACTAAACCCCCTTACTAGGAATTTTGACCGGATCGCATATGTGTTTTATCAGAACAATCGCATGCTTTCACCTGGAACACAAACATGTGCTGACGTGGAACACACTCATGTGGTCACATGCAAAAAGTGCGTGTTCACTTGGAACGCGCCGATGTGGTCAGCTGGAACACACCAAGAACACACAATCATTTACTTGAAGCACTCGTACGTGCATCCGCAGCATGCTGCCTGTGGCTTGATCAAGCGCACGCGCGCGCTCAAACACACGTTTCTGAGCCTCAAACACACATGCGTGCCCGCGGAATACACCGCGAATGACCAGGGAGCCGTGCCAGGCATCCAGGCTGGGGGACAACAAGAAGGAGACAAAGGGAGACAAATGAACCCGTCCGCCCGGAGAGCCGTGCCAGACATCCAAGCTGGGAGACAAACGAATCCGTCCACCCAGAGAGCCGTGACAGGCATCCAGGCTGGGAGACAACCGGGGCCAAATAAAGGGAGACAAAGGGAGACAAATGAATCTGTCAGGCAAATGAACAGGTGCCAAGAGCACCACTGGGTATCTCGGCGTAGGTTCGTTGAACATCATCAAAGAATCGATAGACGATTTAACTCCAGCGTGATTCACGTTTGTTTCACCGGGGGGTTAACAGAGCCTTCTCGTAGCTGAAGCCGTGCACCGCAGCGCACCGCTCTCGTCAGCTCGGGACTCCAAATGCGAGCAAGGACAGAGAGAGGCCGCAACTGATAACGAGGCACTGAACGAACAGACAGGGTGTAGCCAACGATAGACAAGGAAGACGACCCACCACGAGCCCAAGCAAAATCGAAGTCCAGATGAAGGGCAGACAGAGGACCCTGTCCCCAACATCCACAAGACAAGGAATGACCGAAGCCAGGGCCGAAGCCGAAGGCAAACCAGACCCCGCCAAAAGGACAGAACCGCGGGAAGTGAAGGAAACCGCGGAGCGTGAGTGCCACACATCCAGGCTGGGAGACAACGGGAGACAAATGAATCCGTCCACCCAGAGGGGCATCCAGGCTGGGAGACAACGGGAGACAAACAAAGGGAGACAAAGGGAGACAAATGAATCCGTCCACCCAGAGAGGCATCCAGGCTGGAAGACAACGGGAGACAAATAAAGGGAGACAAAGGGAGACAAAGCAATCCGTCCACCCACAGAGATGGGAGACAAATGAAGGGGAACCAAGGGAGACAAGTGAATCCGTCGCCTGGGGAGCCGTGACAGACATCCAGGCTGGGAGACAAGGGGAGCCAAATGAAGGGAGACAAAGGGAGACAAGTGAAACTGTCCACCCAAAGAGCCGTGCCAGGCATGGGAGACAACGGGAGACAAATGAAGGGAGACAAAGGGAGACAAGTGAATTTGTCCGCCTGGAGAGCCGTGCCAGACATCCAGGCTAACAAAGCCCAGAGAGCCGTGCCAGACAAATGAAGGGAGACAAAGGGAGACAAATGAACCCGTCCACCCAGAGCCGTGCCAGGCATCCAGGCTGGGAGGCAACGGGAGACAAATGAAGGGAGACAAAGGGTGACAAATGAACCCGTCCACCCAGAGAGCCGTGCCAGGCATCCAGGCTGGGAGACAACGGGAGACAAATGAAGGGAGACAAAGGGAGACAAATGAACCCCTCCACCCCAGAGAGCCGTGACAGGCGTCCAGGCTGGGAGACAACCGGGGCCAAATAAAGGGAGACAAAGGGAGACAAATGAATCCGTCAGGCAAATGGAGGGAGACGGAGACAAATGAACCCGTCCGCCGGGAGAGCCGGGACAACCCCAGGTGCCAAGAGCACCACTGGGTATCTCAGCGTAAGGTTCGTTGAACATCCTCGAAGAATCGATAGAGGATTTAACTCCAGCGTGATTCACGTTTGTTTCACCGGGGGGTTAACAGAGCCTTCTCGTAGCTGCAGCGCACCGCTATCGTCAGCTCGGGACCGCAACTGATAACGAGGTACTGAACGAACAGACAGGGTGTAGCCAACGATAGACAAGGAAGACGACCCACCACGAGCCCAAGCGAAATCGAAGTCCAGATGAAGGGCAGACAGAGGAGGACCCTGTCCCCAACATCCACAAGACAAGGAATGACCGAAGCCAGGGCCAAAGCCGAAGGCAAACCAGACCCCGCCAAAAGGACAGAACCGCGGGAAGTGAAGGAAACCGCGGAGCGTGAGTGCCACACATCCAGGCTGGGAGACAACGGGAGACAAATGAATCCGTCCACCCAGAGAGCCGTGCCAGGCATCCAGGCTGGGAGACAACGGGAGACAAATAAAGGGAGACAAAGGGAAACAAATGAATCCGTCCACCCACAGAGATGGGAGACAAATGAAGGGGAACCAAGGGAGACAAGTGAATCCGTCCGCCTGGAGAGCCGTGACAGACATCCAGGCTGGGAGACAACAGGAGCCAAATGAAGGGAGACAAAGGGAGAAAAGTGAATCTGTCCACCAAAAAAACAGTGCCAGGCATCCAGGCTGGGAGACAACGGGAGACAAATGAAGGGAAACAAAGGGGTGCCAGACATCCTGGGAGACAAAGGTAGACAAATGAACCCGTCCACCCAGAGAGCCGCGCCAGGCATCCAGGCTGGGAGACAACGGGAGACAAATGAAGGGAGACAAAGGGAGACAAATGAACCCGTCCACCCAGAGAGCCGTGCCAGGCATCCAGGCTGGGAGACAACGGGAGAAATCAAGGGAGACAAAGGGAGACAAATGAACCCGTCCACCCAGAGAGCCGTGCCAGGCATCCAGGCTGGGAGAGAACGGGAGACAAATGAAGGGGACAAAGGGAGACACATGAACCCGTCCACCCAGAGAGCCGTGCCAGATCCAGGCTGGGAGACAACGGGCGACAAATGAAGGGAGACAAAGGGAGACAAGTGAATCTGTCCACCCAGGCATCCAGGCTGGGAGACAACGGGAGACAAATGAAGGGAGACAAAGGGAGACAAATGAACCCGAGCCGCGCCAGGCATCCAGGCTGGGAGACAAATGAAGGGAGACAAAGGGAGACAAATGAACCCGTCCACCCAGAGAGCCGTGCCAGGCATCCAGGCTGGGAGACAACGGGAGACAAATGACAAAGGGAGACAAATGAACCCGTCCACCCAGACTGGATCATCCAGGCTGGGAGACAACGGGAGACAAATGAAGGGAGACAAAGGGAGACAAGTGAACCCAGGGAGACAAACGAACGCGTCCACCCAGAGAGCCGTGCCAGGCATCCAGGCGGGGAGACAACGGGAGACAAATGAAGGGAGACACAGGGAGACAAATGAACCCGTCCACCCAGAGAGCTGTGCCAGGCATCCAGGCTAGGGCTTGGCAACAGGCGAGCCACCTTAAATGAATTTAGAACCCCTCACAGTAAACTGTTTGGGGAAAAAACAACTGGTTTCGGATGTTTCCCTGCTAGTACCAGCCAACAATGGTTTCAACCATGGTTTCAAAGTGGTGCAGGATTTCGTCCACCGCACAGTCACCAGCGCCTCAAACAGCACCCCAGGCAGCATCCCAACACACCACCTGCCCCAGCACCCAAACTGCATGCCACCTTGCACCCCAAACGTCAATCCCGCACTGTCACCCGCATGTCCGCCAGCACCCGGCCGTCAATCTCACCAGCACCTCAAACAGCGCCCCAAACAGCACCTTCACCAGCACCCCAAACTGCACGCCCCCGCAAATCACTTCCCCCTCTTTAAATGGAAGTTAGAACCCCTTTGGCTTGTTAGAACCCCTATAGCTTTCAGCGATCTGGGGGAAACACTACTTAAACAGGGGTGATTGGTTGCCCCAAAGTTATGGTTGATGAATTCCAAGTGTTATGTTTCCCTGTTGAGTTTGAAGGGAATCGATTTCACTGCTGGCATGTGTTCCAGTGGGCAAAGAAGAAATGCAAAAAACATATAAAAAAATAACGGCCTATAGGGAGCTCACCAATCAGGAGTTGTCACGATCTCATGACAAAGATCCTTTACTTGAGTTTTTGTTGCTGGCATTGTAGTAAAGTTGCATGGGACCCTTGGCGGGATTAGCGGTTTGGATTTGACCTACCCCTGGCTTTTTTAGAATGGGACACTCCTGAACCACACGACCAATCCACCAATTTTGACGGGAAGCCTGGGAAACGCTTGTTTTGGGGGGCTGGGTCCCCCCTTCTCTGCTAGAAACCAAGTTAATAGGTTTTTGTTTTCTTTGGTTTTTGGGCTGCAACAAGCAAGTTTGTTTGCTACGATACCAAGGTGTTGTAAAGGTACGTTTTGAGAACCTGGGTATCCATGGCAAAATGGCTCAACCACGTTCGTACATATAGTGGCAGCTCCAGGAATCCAGTTACCACACTCGCACGTACCTTGATTTTAAGCTCCAGATGTCTTGATCCGGTTCCTTAACTTTTTAGCTGGTTCACGGGTAGTTTACATTTATCCCACCAAAAGTTAAACCTTTAGCAAGGCATCTGAGGGCAGCCCAGATGTTACATGGGTGTTTCTCAACATGGACCCTCTTTTGGTTTGTAGTTGAAGGACCACAAAGAAACCAACCAAAATGACTGGTTTTCGCTCACCCAAAAAGCTTGCCGAGGTCCTCTGAGTCAAAGCTTTTCTTTGGGAATCCTAACAAATCTCTTGGAACCTGTGGTCAGCTCCGAAGCTATGAAATATGTTTTTGGGTCGCCGAAATATGAAGCAGAATCAGTTTATTTGTTTGGTCCCCCCCTTTTTCTTGGCCGCGGAAATTCCGGCGGTCGCCCCTTAATGGGTTATTGCTTGCCCCAAAATTATTGAATTGGTGAATTCCAAGTATGATTTTCTCCTGGTTTTGAAGGGAATCGATGGACATATTTGAGATGTCGGGTTTGACTTCAGCCGCTCGGGTCGTTTGCTCCTCCGTCTTTGCCAGGAATTGGAGCGCGAGACCCGGGACAACTCTGAGGCTGTAAGCGGGGAGAAGAATGTGCGGCAGCTGCGGGCCCGGCAGAGCCCCTCGTCGTCAGTGAGATCCGTTCAACCAACGGGGCGCGCTGGCTGCGGGCAATTATGTTTCCCGCGTTTTTTTTGGGGGGGGATTTCACCGGAACTTGTTTTGGGCCATTTGAAAGAGAAGGCCTCTTTAATATTGCTTTACTGTCCTTTTTGGTGGATTTAAACAGCACCTATTGGGCCAGTTCAACATGAGCCGTTAGCGTCAAGCCTGCGCGTGGCATGGCTGCTACCCGCGGGCTCTGATTGGCGCGTGCCATGGACAAAAACTGTGCCAGCCGAGACGGCATTCGCCATGTGTGGCACACGCTGTGTGCAGCTGAATGGACATGCGCAACAGCCACATGCCATGCCGGCCAGGTGGTGAACCTGCATTGTGCCCAGGTGCGCATCTGCAAGGATGAGCAAGGCCGTGTGAAATGCGCTGCAAACCTGCAGATCCCCCGAGGTCAAAGGAACGCGTGCTGTTTTGATGCCTGCATCCCGTGTGCCGCATGCCAGGAACAGTGGAACCATCCGGCGTGTGCAGTGGTTGTCCGCGTGCCACAGGAATGCGTGGACTTTGTCTGCCGTGATTTGTGCTTCTCAGCAATTGGAGCGGTTGTTACATTGCCAGCATGCAACGAAACCAACCAGGTGATGGAGGTTGATGCCACCCCCCCGGGATCGATCGTACTCCCTATGTCCCAACTGTCTCCCAGCCCCCCGGTGTTGCATGTGGAGCTGTTTGCCGGTGGCTTTGCTGGTTGGAAACGTGCTCAGACGATGCTGGCATTCCATGGAGCTTGCACCATCAGGTCCTCGTTCGCCGTTGAGATCGATGAGCAAACTGCCAATGTGTATGCCGCCAATAACCCGTGCCACCGAATTGGGCCTGACCCAGGCTCTTTCCGCCCTTGTGAGGTTGCTGCAAGATGTAAGCGTGGCCAAGATGTTCTCTACAATGGTGAGGTTCAGGACAAGGCTTGGCTCCTCTGCATCCCTGATACAACCATGCAAGTTTGGTCGGTTAGTGCCCCATGTGGGCCATGGAGTCGAGGTGGGAAACGTGAGGGACTCGCATGTGCTGCCGGTAGGTTGTTTGTTGAGACTGCAGTCCAAGCCAGGTGGCTTCGACCTCATGCCATTGCAGCTGAGAATGTTGATGGATTTGAGGATCATCCTCACCACGATACCGTGCTCAGGGCATTCCGTTGGGCGGGATACCAACTGCATTGGAAGTCTCTCAGTGATATGCGCAGTGTCTCCCCCTGCACCAGGAAGCGGTGGTTATGTGTCTGGGTCCGCGATGACTTGCTGCCAGATTGCCCAGGCACTGTTGAGTTGGTCACGCTTGAGGCAAATTCCCTTTTGGGGTTCAAATGTCTCTTTGACCTCCCCACTGCCTTGGAGCGCAACCTCACCTTGGACAGTGAGCTTTTGGACATTTACAGCGACCCATTGTTTCTTCCAGGCCCCAAGACCCGTGCTGCAGTTGAGATGTCACGTGCTAGTGTCCTCCAGAAACGTGTCAAGTCCAAGTGCGGACCCATTGGAACCATGACAGCCAGCTACGGTATCCAGCACCAGCTTGATAGTGAGATGCTTGCTTCCAAAGGGATCTATGCACAGCTTATCCAAGGAAACTTTGGCCCCAGGTTTCTTGCCCCTTTCGAGATCGCTGCCCTCATGTGTGTGAATACCAGGTTCACGGTCCCGAAGAACCCAAGGATTGGCCACAAGGTTGTTGGCAATGCCATTGCAGTCCCACAGGCAGCACTTGCCCTTGCCATGGCCTGTCGTGCCGTCATCCCTGGGTGCAACATTGACCCCCAGCACTGTGCGCTTGCATGTGTTTGTGATAGGTTGCACAGTGCCAATGCTTGGATACTTGAGGATGCCGCGTGCTATACCCTCCACCAGAAGGTTGTGCCCCGATGCGTTGCTAACCCCAAGCCTGCCAGGAAGCGCGCCCGTGTCGTCGTCAGTGAGCACGCGTCTGCGTCCTCCGGCATGAGTGAGCTGTATCAAGTACCGGGCCCCCCCGCCTGTTGCCAACGAGATGCGCCCCGTGAGCATGTTGGGCCAGTAGGTCATCAGCCCAACCATTGGACTAAGGCAGCCGGCGCTGAATGCGTGCCTCCCACGTGTGGTGGTGAGAGCTCAGAGCTTGCCAAAAAGGTCCCAGTAGGTGTCGGGGAAAATTTCGTGCCCAACCCTGCGGGTAGTTGTGATGAGTTATCGCCAATCGTTACTGTGTCCTCTCAGCTTACCCTGTGTAGCGATCCCACCCATGGCCCAGACGATCGGACCGCTGAGCCTCAGCACTGTGCCTCGCTTGTTGTGCCCGAGAGTGAAGGGGGCATTTCGCCCACCCTGCAATTCCAATGCACCATCATCCTCGCGTGCCAGTTCTACCGCTCCTTGCCAAGGAAAGATGGAACAGCCCAGTGTCGCCCGGCCACCCTGGTTGTCCCTGCCGGCCTTACCATTGATGAGGCGTTCCATTTGCATGGGTTGGACGCCTGGTCCCAGTACATCATGCTTGACCATTCTGGAATGCCTGTTGCGACCGGTGCCCAAATCCAGACGGACACCTCCATCACACTTGTCGAGCCCACTGAGCAATTACGGGAGCTTGCCCGTCACGGCGCTACATGGCTCCCAGCAATTGATGGCAAGCCTGTAGGCCACTCCCTCGCCTTGTACCTCCCGGCTGTCGGTGGCGCTCTCTTACACCTTTTTGACCAAGTTGGGAGTGAAGTGAACGTGTCCACTGTGTGTGGCGGCCAGTCAGCAATCTTTGCCATCATTTTCCCATGCAAGCCCACTGTGACTTGGCACCGGGATGCCTTTTCCAACAAGTTGTCCGACCTTGACTTGCCCAGCAAAGTGAATCTCCCTCGATTTGAGGTTGACCGTGATGGCATTCGGTTCATAGCCACGCACAAGCATGCCTCCGAGCAGTCTAGGAGCGTACTCCGTCTGATCGCCGACATCATCCCTGTCATTGATGCTGCAGGGTGGCAATGGGTATCCCCCAGTGACCGAGTCCCTTTGGCACTCGGGTCATTGAAGCCGGTGCACGCACGGTCAGCCCCTGTTCACTGTGTTACCATGCTCCTTGCAGCACACATCATCCGCGGCCACATGACTTCCTGCCAGGTTGTGCATGGTGAGCGTGTCAAGTTTAAACTTGAAGGTCGAACTGTTTGGGATGGTGTGCTTCCGGGCTCCCTGAAGTGCCACTTTTTTGACCAAGTAGCCACCTTCGCAACCACCTGGTGTGCACTGCCAGCCATCGCAATTGTGCACAACGCCAAGCGCCTTGACCTGTCCAGCACTCTTGGTGAGCTCAGGGGTCCCCATACCAGTGGCCCAACTGTTGTTGTCGCAATGTGCCGCACACAAGGAGGTGGAGCCAAGAATGAGACCTATAAGCATGCCAAAGCAGCCCTTGCAAAGGAGCTGTTAGACCATGGATACCCCGTCCAGGTCATCGAGTCCATTACTGCCGATTGGATTACCAAAATCGGAGTGAATGCAGTTGCAAGAGCAACCAAACTGCGTGATCCAGACAAGCGGTGGGCTGAGCTCATCGAGCTTGCCAAATGGCATGGGGCCTCGCTTGAGGCAAATGAGCAGAACCGGCAGCAAGCTGCCAAGGTGATTCAGGCAGCCGTCCGTGTAGCCCAGCGCCATGAGCCATCCGTAGAGGATTTCCGTCTTGTCCCTGGATTCTTCACGAATAAGGACAAGTCACCCGCAGTCATCCTTTCTGGGCCTTCTTGCGGCCAACGTGGAGTCGCCCTCGTAGATGCTGAAACAGCCACCAACTGGCTCTCGCGGTCACGGCCCATTGTGACCGATGAGTTCGCCCTGGTTACTTTGGGGCGCCAAGAATCCCTCGAGACCTTTGGGCCGGCCGAGATCCATTTCCCAGCATGTGATAAGCAGGACCGTGAGGTCCTCCTTCGAGGGTGCCTTTGGCAACTTGGAGAGTCGCCGGTCTTGACTTCAGTTGCTAATCACACCATTGACACCACCAGTACCATCACAGCCTCCTTCACAGCCTGGGCCGATGATTTCGAGCCAGCCCATTGGGGCGAAATCGTCACTGGCATGGTCAAAAATGCCCTAGCGTGCTTTGAGGTCCCTGACCTTGCAGGCATCATTCATGTGTGGGGCCGTAGCGCTCGAAACAAGGCAGGAAAGGTTGACTCACGTAACGCTGCCTCCATTCAGTTCCATGCTTCGGTTGAGACCAAGTTGCATGATGTGCTCCTTGCCAAATCCGGGTTTTGTCGCATCTTCATGGTTCCCAAATGTGAAGCTGGCCTCAGCCACCCGGACTGGTCGTTGATCTGGCTGAAGGATAGGGTAGAGTGCCAGATTGCGTCCACCAAGTACCCAGCCCATTCCGGTATGGCCCGCGGTAAAAGCAGCTTTGCGCTTCGTGTCAAAACCAGCCAGCTCACCCAGGCATGTGCTGCCATCAAGCCAGGAGTTGATCTCGCCGATCACATCTCCATCCGCAAGCTGTATCGCATTGAGCCGTTGCCGATTGGAACCACCCAGAAGCAGGTCGTTGAGTGGGCCGAAGCCAACAAGTGGAAAGTCCGCGTTGTCCGATCCCTTGGCAAAATGGCTGTTTTGGTTGGAGCTTCTGACCCGCCCCCCAAGCACCATATGGCCGTGAATGGAAGCCCAATCTTGGTTGCCGAGATCGCTACTGGCCGTGACCGAAAGACCCGGGACCCCATTCAAGTTGCAGGCCCACGGCCCAAACGCACTGGCCCTGCCAACAGCGATGTCGACCCGCTTGTTGCCAATGACCCGTGGGCCAGATGGCCACCCAAGGCCAACCAAGTTCAGGCCACCATGCCTAAGCAGCCAGACCCCGCAGCGACTGGTGGGCCACCGCAACCTGGGCCCACAGCTGCCCGACTGCAGTCGTTCGATGACAGGATGACGCAACTTGAGCAGTGTGTCAAGTCGCTTGGGACTGGCCAGCAGCAGT